TTGTTTTATAGTTATGTCAAGGTTATCATTAGTATTTTGCTAAGGATTGCATTGAATCTGTAGATTGCCTTGGATAGTGTAGACATTTTAACAGTATTGACACTTTCAGTTCATGAATTCATGAACATGGGATGTCTTTCTGGTTTTTATGTCCTCTTCAAGTTTTTGTAATTTTAATTGTAGAGATCTTTTACTTCTTTGGTTAAATTTATTTCCACATATTGTATTTTATTATAGCTATTGTATGTGGGATTGCTTCCTTGATTTCTTTCTCAGCTAATTTACTATTGGGGTATAAAATATTGATTTTGTATCCTGCAGCTTTGCTGAATTTGTTTATTAGTTTTAATAGTTTGTTGCTGATATCTGCAGACAGTGACAGTATGACTTCCTCTCTTCTGGTTTGGATGCTCTTTTTTTCATTTTCCTACTGGCTTGCTCTGCCAGGACTTGCAGTACTATGGTACTGGAAGTGGTGACTGTGGGCATCCCTGTGGACTGTTTCCTTTTTCTCCAGCTGATCTGCTGTTGTCCACAGTGCACTTCTCTGGATCATTTATTTCAGGATCCTTATCCCTCTTTTGTCCTCTTCATTCTTGCCTACCAAGAAAATAAGGAGCATCATGTGCTCTTCCAGCTGGCCGCTGCTCAGCCTAACAGAGTGAAAACTCAAGTACGGATAGGGGAAAGATACTTGCTAACATTTATAAATGTAAAAAGGTTAGTATCAAAACTGTATACTTTCTAAACCCATGAGTCAAATTAGAACACACCGCAGGGGACAAAGATTCGACAAGCATTTCATAGAAGTAAAAACCCTAATGGCCAATAATGTGTAAAGAAAAAACTCAATAGCACTAATTATCAGGAACTTGTAAATTCATCATAGAAATAACAGCCTTTAGCCACCAGGTTGGCAAAAACTTTTTAAAAGGACATCAGTAGCTGCAAAGGATATGGAGTAACTAGAGTATAAATTAGTACAACTAATTTGGAAAAGCAGTTTTAAAAGTTGAAAATGCTCATACATAAGGCCAAACAGTTCTGCTTTTACCTGTGGATCATGGGGGAGCTTTCATTTTTAAAAATGACATTATTTATTTGAATGGCAGAGCAACAAGACAAAGATCCTGTATCTGCTGGTTCACTCCCCAGATGCTCACAAGATGTGTACTGGGCCAGGCAGAAGCCAGGAGCTGAGAAATCAAACTGGGTCTCTCTTGTGGGTAGCAGGGTCCTAAATACTTGAGCCATTTACCTGCTGCCTTCCTGGCTGTGCATTAGCAGAAAGTGGGAATTGGAAGCAGAGGTGGGGTTTGGACACAGGTACTCTGTTACAGGATGTGAGTCTCCCAACTGGTGGCTTAACAGCTAAGCCAGATGTTTGCCCAGTGGTGGGGAAGCACTTGGCTGAGTTTGTGTGCTGGAGGTCATGTCCAGGAATGTTCATGGAGCAGCGTTTGTGATTGTAAAGGATTGGAAACAAAGAAATGTCATCAGTAGTAGAATAGATAAATAAGCCGTGGTATATTCATACTTGGAATTCTGTACAGCACTTCAAACAAATATATCACAACTACATGCAAGAAAATATACTTCTATTTCGAATCATGAGTTTAGGGAACTTTGTCAGTGTACAAACATATCTTTGTTTGAAAAATAGGATCAAAATGTAAATTGGCCTTTAAAATGAGTGGGTTTTTTTTGGAATTGTTGGAAAGTTTAGGCAAGTTCTGTGTAGAAATTAAGTTAGTTTTTTAATGTAATTTTGAATACCTAGTAACACGCGGCTGTGTTCTTTGTATCTGACATGGACCCTCACTGAGTAGCCCTGTCAGGGCACAAAGGGACCCCCCACTTCATGTACCCATCCATGCACATGCACACTTTCACATCTGAACACACACACACACACAAACACACGAGAGTGCTTCGCGACGTGTCTGGAAAAACAAAATTGAAAGATAAGGGTATTTTGGTACAAAAAAATTTTGGAATCATACCTAGTTTTTTCATAATAAGCATTTTCAGGAACTTTTGTAAGACCTCTTGTATGTGTTTATACTAGTACAGAATATATATATTTTATGTTTTAAGTCTTTTCTGTGTCGTAAGTCTTTTCTGTGTCAATTCATGTAGTTCTACATTTCCCTTTTGAGACTGTATGACTTCCATGGTAATTTAGCCCAACTAATGTACATTTGTTTGGCTTGGTTAAAAACACTGATGTACTGCTCATGGTTTTTGCTCTTCATCATCTTCAGATTTAAGATCTCTTTTTCTAGGATCATAAAAATATTCACTTATGGCCGGCACCGCGGCTCACTAGGCTAATCCTCCGCCTTGCGGTGCTGGCACACCGGGTTCTAGTCCCGGCCGGGGCGCCGGATTCTGTCCCGGTTGCCCCTCTTCCAGGCCAGCTCTCTGCTGTGGCCAGGGAGTGCAGTGCAGGATGGCCCAAGTCCTTGGGCCCTGCACCCTATGGGAGACCAGGATAAGTACCTGGCTCCTGCCATCGGATCAGCGTGGTGTGCCGGCCACAGTGCGCCAGCCGTGGCGGCCATTGGAGGGTGAACCAACGGCAAAAGGAAGACCTTTCTCTCTCTCTCTCTCACTGTCCACTCTGCCTGTCAAAAAAAAAATATTCACTTATTTTTTGGAATTTACATTTGTAGTTTTGTTTCTAACATTTAGTTCTTCCATCCATCTGAAATTTACTCTGAGTGGTGTGACAGGGACTTACGTCCTCCAAATGGCTCCCAGATGCTCCAGCACTATTTAGTGAACGGAGAATCATGGAGTGGAGTTAGCTTCATCACTGAACACCACTGGGCCTGGGAGCCAGGACAGGTTGAGTGTGCATGGTAGGAGTTGCCAGTGTTCTCAGCACATTCCAGGTACTGTCTCTGAATCTCCATGCCCACCCATTCTGTAGCTGGGCAATTGTCGGGCCTAATTCAGCTGCTTAGTAGTGTCGCTTAGATTTTAACTCCTGAGTCTGGCTCCAAAACATGTGCTCTTTACCTTGTGCACACATGCGAAGTTTGGATGCACAGATTTGTTTGTCATTTCCCAGCCAACATGAGCTGGTAATTGCTTTTAGTTACCCCTTCTTGGATCATGATTGAAAACTTAATTTCACAGAAGTAGAGGCCTAGCTGTGTCTTTTATAATTGACGATAGCCATAGAGATCCAAGTGATTCCTTTTCTGTGGTTTATTTATAACATAATTTCTCTTAACAAACAAGGCATAGAATCTTTTAAAGATTTTTAAAGGATGTCTGGAGTAGCCGTTTATCCTAGCAATTACAAAGCCTGTATCCCACCTCAGAACGCCTGAGTTCAATTCCCACCTCCCATTCCTGACTGCAGCCTCCCTCCAATGCAGACCCTGGGAGGTAGTGGGGATGGCTCAAGTAGTTGGGTTCCTGCCACCTACCTAGGAGGCCAGGATTGATTTCCTGAGGCTGGCTTCAGCCGCGTCCCAGTCATTGTGGGCATTTGGGGAGTGAACCAGTAGGTGGCAGCTCTCTGTCTGTGTCTCTCACAAAAATGAAATTCAAAAATTTGAAAGAATGTGATCCAATTCTAAAATTTGGATACATGACAATTGTGAGTTTATTACCTAATTGAGTAAAAGTTGAGATTGTTATCGGCTACATTGTTATTTTCTGAATTTCTTATTCTCTTTTTCGTTTAGCATAAACGTGAAATGAGAATGATTTGGGGATTTATAACTAGACTTCCCTCAGCTGTATTTCCTTGAACTAGAGACCGAACCTCTCTGAACCTGTCTTTCCTCATTAAATTAGGTGATGATACCGGGGGAGGGGGGGTAGCATGATAGATAATTCAGACAGTATCTTTAAAGTTCCTAGTAGGATACATAAATGTGATAAGTACACTGTTTTATTTTCCTTTTATGTTGAAACAAGCATGTGAAGATTCTTGGCTTAGAGTAGTAATTTTCTTTTGCCATTTATGTCCGTTGTGGAGGACTATGGTGACTTTGGGAGATTTTGAGTAAGATACAAAATGTTATTAATCCTTAGCTGTTTTTGACAAAAATTATATCTAGCTAATTTTTATGAATAAGTTTTTATTTCAAATATTTGTCACTTCGGGGTATTTGGATAATTTATTTGTTCCCTTATGTTGTTTTGCTTAACCAATCTAGGATAGGTAGGCAGTTTATATATACATATAGGACAGAGAGCAAGAGAGAGAATCGTTTCAGTGCCATCTCCACCTATAAGATGGCGTAATTTAACTTAAATGTTTCCTCCTTTATGATTTTGGAGTGTACTTTTAAAATTAGCCTCTTAGATGCTACATCATTGTGTTTGCTAAATTAAGTGCATAGGTTGGATCAGATGTGCCTGAGGTTGCTTGTAACTCACATCCTCTGGCTCTGGGCAGGGCACTTTATCTAAACGTTTTTCCCGGGTTATTCACTGTCAAGCAATCTCCAAGTGACTTACAGTTACATGCTTTCTTTAAAAGTTCATAAACCATATTAGATGGTCGATTGTAGGATGAGGCAAATATTCTCATATTTTCCATGAAATTTAAGAATGAATTCATTTTACTCAAAAAATGAGTTTAATATGAAAAATACGAAAAATATGTTTAATATGAAAATGTCTGTAATTTGGGAATTACTGCTGTGTAGCTTCTGCGCAGTATATTGTATTGGATGTTTTTAAAAATGCTGGTGAGGTAAGGCCAATTGAATGCCCAGGTAAGAGATTGCAGTAATGAATTACTCATTTTTTTAAATAATTTTCTTAATATTTGGTATTCAGTTCGCAATGTATGCTCTGCATATTTTCGGTTGAGTAGAAAAGGCTGTTTTTCAACTAAGAGGCTAAATGTGGCGCAGGGAAGTGTAACCTTGAGCGCTCGCGTGGGAGCGCGCACAAAGGGTGGGGACCGTTCGCGAGGTGCAGCGCCGAGGTCTGCCGCTGAGTGAGGTCCTGTGTTTCTCCCGTTCCTGCAGGTGCGGCGGTCGCGGGCATCTACAGAGTGGCAGGGAAGAACATGGCCCCCTTGGAGGCGCTGGTGTGGGGCGTCGGGCAGACTGTACTGACACTAATCATCTCCTTTTCAAGGATCCTCGCCACGCTCTGAGGCTTCTGTGGGAATGCCCGACCTCACGCACGGAAACAGACCGCCTGAAAATGGCGTTGGTTACAAGTAGAAACAAATGGCCGCGGACCGTGCGCCGCGCCGGTCCTCTCGTGCTGTGTGCAGAGCCTGCCCTCTGGTGTTGGAGCGATCGCACCACCGCACTGCACCTGCCGTGCCTCCGTCCGGGCCCGGGGCGCGAAGACCGACGGGAAGCCAGGAGGGAAAGCACCTTGTGTAGCTGCCAATCAGGTTCACAGCGCCATGTTCAGCTACAGGGACGTTCTGAGGAATTGCTACATGTGCCAAACTCTCTTCTTTCTGTTACCATTGATCATGTGACAATTTGCAAGTGTAGACGTAGATGAGTGCTGTGAACATCTCTGACATGAATTCAGGTCATGTAGTGAGATCTCTGTTTTGTGATGCTGAGTCCCGTGTGAGTGTGCTCAATCCCAAATCGTTCGTATGAGAGAGATTTTTTGGTTTTTAATGTTGAGCGTTTCTGAGATTTAGGGCTTTCATGTGTTTAGGCATTATTGTTATTTAATTTATGCAGGAAATAATTCTTCTTCCTGGAAGACTAGCTAAACTGTTTTAAGGACTCAGAATAGATCTATCGGGCACACAGTTTTTCACTAAATTAACACACCCTTTTAAGAATTTCCCTCATGCATAAATATTCTATTTAGATGAATTCAGAAACTTTATGGGTCACACACATTGACTGTCGTTTGTGTGTTGGAAGAATATAACTTAAAAATATTCTTATAAGTTTTGTTAAGAAAAAGTCTGACACACATGTTGCATTCTTTGACCCTTCTGAAGAAAGTTTTTGCCTTGTCTCTCACAGAGAACATCTGTACAGCTAGCCGTGAGAACATCTGTACAGCTAGCCGTCTGGTGTCTCGGCGGGGTTATAGTACTTGCTGCAAGCATCTTAACTTTGTTACAAAATGGAACCAGTCTTTTGTTCTGGAGTGCTAACCGTGTTTAAGGAGTGCCGTGCATTGGGCTCTGGAGCTCAAAACCGACCTGTAAATGAGTAACAGGTGAGCTTTACAGGATGCGTAATAAACTGTCTTATTTGGATGCATGTCAACGTCATGGTTCTAAGGGAAAGATTGGGAATATAGTTAAGCCATTTTAAATCTCAGCTTTATCAGTTCAGCCCCAAACGTGTATTTGAGTCATTCATTTCATGTGTTCAGTTCTCAATTTGAGCTGTTGTGATTTGAGTTTACCAGAATCCATGATGACATTAATAACAAAGGGACATGGCCTTTACACAGAACCTTTGAAGAGGTTTTCTAAGATGGTAGGAGGTAGGGGGATCCCAGAGCCTGGTGGAATTGGTCCCCCAGTGGGGTTTCCTTGGGTACCAGTTTCAATGATAAATGTGCTAACTCCAAGGAAGAACTGTTGTAGAGAATATGAAGTTCAGACACTCCAAAAGATGATCTGGCACCCGTGCCTTTCCTTATGGATAAAATAAAGCAAGTTTAAGTCCCCATTTAAGTTTAAGACCTTTGTTACCCAAAGCCCCTTTTCTACACCAAAAAAGTGCAGAATATATTAGCAAGTCAGCAAGGAGGAGTTAGAGAGGGTGTACTTTAGCCTGTGTGGGGATTTACTGCCACCGGGGACTAGAGATTTGTTTATTTGTTTAAAAAAAAAAAAAAGTTAAGGAATTATATGTTCTTAAGGATCTTTGGAGGAAATCTTAAAATGGTTTTTTTAATTAAGTGTAAGGCTGGAATTGTTCTCAGGTGTTCTTTATAGTCCTGACATTTTCTTAGATTAAATTTAGGCTTCCCTTTCCAAGGCAGTTTGATTTCTCCTTTCCATTGGGCTTTGGTGTGGGTTCGTCCTTCCCTTTGGCTATTCTGTACATAGTGTAAAGCACCTGCCCTCGACCAGAGACCTGTCCACACTGGGCAGACCTTGCTTTAGACTGACAGGATGAACTTATGTTAGCATATGGTTATTTCATGGTTAAGAAAGCAAGGTAACGTGATAGGGAGTGGGTGGTTCATAATCCAGATTTGACATTCAGCATCTGGTTGCACCAAAGAGCTGTAAACTCCTGATTTTATTCTAGAATGAAGTACAAATGAAGAATTAGTGATTAGTTTGCAGATTGCCCTGCAGTTATCTCATTATCAAGTTTATTGATGTTATGGTGTGGGGTGTGTGTGTGTGTGTTTGCGTGCGCGTGCACGCACGCATGTGTGTGTGCACTAGTTTGGGGGACATTTTTGGTTTCTTTGCTGTTTTCAGGTACTTCCATTGGATTTTTGGGCTACTGTCACTCTTTGGATGGTTTGAAATGCAGTTGAATAGTGTGAATTTTTGAAATTGTCTTGGTAGCTATTTTTATGCTGAGATTTTTTTAAAAGTTAGTTGTTTTCCTCTAGAGACAATAAATGTTTAATGATATATATTACTAGCATATATATCATTATGTACATCCACACAGAGCTGCTATCTGTGGATAAAGTCTGACTGGAAAGCTATTATGCACTGAACAGTTTGTGTTCTGGTAGAGAATTTGATAACATTGTTTAGTTGAGTTATCTTTTCAATAAGTTTGAGGATGTTTTAGAGTTTTGAAACTTTTCTTGATTTCTTGTTGCTGGAAACCCTCATTTGGGACATGGCCCAAGCCCTTATTAATGTATTTGGGATAAACTGCCTTAAAATGCGATTTGGCGGTAAATGTTCTCTGTGACAAGTGCAAGATAGGGAGATCCTGTGCAGTTGACAGCCTGTTGTCTAAGAAGACTCTGGATAAAACATCGCTGATAATGAAATCAGTTCCTCAGAGAAGGAACTCCTATTGCCCAAGCCAGTTTCTACCTAACGCGCTGGTGAGAGATGTCCATATCAGAGTTAGTCAGGGAACCTTACATAAGCCACCAGTCCTGCTTAACACCTTTTAAAGAAGGGGGTGCAGGTGACCTGCCCATTAGGACCAGGATCAGGACCGCTTTATGACAGTGTGTGCGCCGTGGTTGTGCTGATGTTAGGTCCTGATGTTTACCAGACAGTGTTACAGTTGTATCCAGTATTGGTTTTTAGTTATCTACTTCATACAGCTCCACTGCCCCAACAAAGTATGTGGGTTTGTACTTTCAATGAGAGAAATAAAGAAATGAATTGGCCTATATATCCTGTATTTGTGTTGTAAGAAATGAGATACTTTAAACTTGCAGGCAATCTAAGCTTGTTGGAAGAGGACTTTAGAGAACCTCTGATTGAGACAGCAGGCTGCCATGTTCATATGCCTGGGCTGACACTCAGGTGACAACGGTTCAATTCAGCAAGCATCTTTGGGGTATCTGCCCCATGCAGCATGCTGCTGTATCAGGTATGAGATGGGATTCCAGCCCTTGACTCCACCGAGAACTGACAAAACTATTTTAAATACTAAAAAAGTGGAGATAGCATTCAGCTTCCCATTTCTAGTTGTGAGTTCAAATCCAGTGCTTTTCCCCTACATTTTATATTCTCAGCTCATCTACTAAATGGAATTTTGGTACCTGAGGTGTCATTGGTATGGCATAGTGAAGGCCAGAATCCAAGCCAGCGACCTGGGTTTTAATGCAGACTCTGTCACCTGTTGTCCCTCTGACACCAAGTATGCCATCTCGCCTCTGTGAGCTCTGGTTCCTGCTCTTTAGGTGCATGAATATGCCATGGAGTTGCCGTGAGGAGCATGTGTATTTGACAGTAGATGATCCACAGATAGTCACCAGAATTGTAAAAAATTACACTTGGCCATCAGTGCCAATTGATTTGTTGTTTTGTAAAATTCACCTAGCTTTCTTCCATGTCTGTATTTTCTCTACATATATTTTAGGAAGGAAACTGAAATAAAAAAATTATCTTACAATCTTGCTTACTTCACCTCTTCACTTTTCAGATAGCAGGGAGTCAGAGATGGTGGAATGGCCATGATTCTGGTCACCGTGGTGGGTATAGGAACGGGGTAGAGGTGGCCAGCAGTCGCTCCTTACCCTGCTCAGCTGCAGCTGGACTCACCCAGCCGGCAGCCACTGACTTGCTGCTGTATGCGAGTTGTCCCTGTGAAGGGGTGTAAGAATGAGTGAGATCCAGCCCTTCTCTCCTCCAGTTTCCACCATTCTGTGGCCAGCCCACGGCATTCGCTCAGTAGTTCAGTGTCAAGTGTGTAGGGAAATCGAACTGGGCTTTGTCATCTACCAGGTCCCTCCTTTCCTGGAGCAAAGATGCTTCAAGCCTTTGTTGCTGTTGTTTTGTTGGTTGGTTTGGCTTAAAAGGAAAGACCATTATTTTAAATTCGTAACCATTATATAATTCAAGAAGGATCAAGATGCTAAGATTATTTTCTAAAATGTTCTCAAACTACTTCTGTCTCTTGCTATTACAAAGCTTTCTCACAGAAAGCCTCATTCAGAACCTCTTTGATCTATAGTTGTCTGGTTTTTAAAACATGAGGAACGTGGAAAGTTCCTGCAGAAATTCTGGTGGACTTAGGTTGCACATATCTGGTAACCCTAGTTGGGTCACTGGATCAATTACTGTTTCTTTTAGTGACCAGGAGAGAGACTCTCAGTGGTTAAAGTGGACTAATTAATAATCAAGTGATCTACTTTCTCTTGACTTCCTGTCCTTTTTACACCACTGTGGAGGAGACTCTCCAGGATACAGGAACATCATCTGAGTAAAAATTACAGCACTTTTCAACCATCTGCTGCTGCCTTGTAGCAGAAGGAAGTTTAAAGACAGGAAGAAGTGTTGGAAGGGTAGTGCCCACATCAGAGGCATAGCTGATGACGCACCCCCTGTTGATGTGAACACAACCCACCCCATTCTTTTGAGACTGGATTGCGCAGTGTGCATGTGTGCTGCCTGTTTACACAATTTGCTCTCCTTATATGTGAGAACTTGCTATGATGCATTTTGAAATCATACCGTGTGTGTGTGTGTGTGTATGTGTGTGTGTGGTAGATTTGCTCTTCTAACTGAAGGATCTCTGTTGTGTGGAGATAATACAGCCTTGTGAAGGAGGCTGCTGAATTAGTTACTTAAATGTATATCTGTGAATTTGTTTGGAGGAACTAATGAATACAAGAAGTGTTTTCCGTAAAGTGGAGATGTGCCTGTTAGCACTTTATTGAGTGAGTGGAAACCCTCAACTGTGGGAGTGAGCTGAGCTGTGAACTCTCATCATCTCCTCCCTTGAGTTTTGGGGACTAATTTTCATGCTTGTTACATTCTTTGCCCTTACACTGACCTTGGGTGATGACTGTTTCTTGGTTTGGAGAACCAATTTGGCAGTGTCTTTAAAATCATCTTCCTCTTTCCACATGGACGTTATGCATTATGGTTTAAACCTATGTACAGTTTGTTGATAGAATCTGAAGTGCTTGGGAAATGCAGATAGAATCTTAGTGAAAAATAATTATTGTGGCAAGTCAGGAAAGCGTGAGCCTCTGATGTCTTTTTTTTATTATTGTATGCCACACCTCCTTACAGTCTTGTCTATGCCAAGAGTAAAATGGCTGTCCCATGTAGGGGAGCGTTTAGATGTGTAACTAAAACTGGAAAGCCATACAACAAATACATAGAAAGGAGAACAATAGTGCACATCATCTGGATCCCACAATGTAACACATTTCTCCTAAACTCAGAGTGGTAACTTCAAAAAGCATCACTTTTTTAGAGCCCCTCTTAAGTGAGTATTAATTGGAGAATACTATTGACAAGGGTTTACTGTGTTTTTTTTTTTTTAATTAAAGGATTTGCACATCATCATTAACTATCTTTGGGATAGAACATTTTAAAGTTTTCTCCAAAGAAAGCAAAGTAAGAGGTGCTTATTAAAAATGGCTTGCTGTCAATACTGGATGAGCTGATAGTCTAATTGTTGACGCTTTCTTAGTATTTGTGATACTGGGTATGTTTGCAATTGAAGAATTTTAAAAATTTCCCCCAGTCCTCTTCCCAGTATGCATAATTATATGAACAAATATGAAATTCCACAGTATTTTTCATTCTAGCCATATAACTTGATAAAATTCAAGGAATGCTCCTGTAGGCACAAGCCTCAGCTCTGCTCATTGTGGGATGAGGGGATCAACTTGTTCTTGAAATCAACTGGCAAAGATGTCTTTATGTCAATGGCAAAAGTATAGCTCACCTGTGTAATATTGTGGGCCTCACTTTCAAATTGTGTCAGCTCTCAGATCACTGATAGTCATTTGGTAAATAACAGTGTACTTTTTAAAAGCTAAATGATCTCTTAGTGCCTTGAAAGTTAAGATACTTTTGCAAAATGGATTTAACAAAATTCAGGATCGGCACAGATGGGCTGGCTTTTGTACTGTCAACTTCAGAGTTGAGGAAGATGTCATTAACTGCATCTTAGCTGTCACGTTCCTATGTTTCAGTACAAATCTGTTATTGCATCGTAAACGATGGCAGATAACAACTGCTTTCATTATATTTTCATGATGTATTTTTCTTTTTTCTTTTTACAAGTAAGAAATGGGGAAAAATATAGTCAAGAAGTAAGTGTGGGATTTTAAGCTCTAGTTTTGTTTTAACCTAGACATTCTAGGGTGAACAGTGTTAGTTTTATACTGTAGTCCACAGGCAGACACTTTGTGTACCCTTTAGAAATGTGTTTACCGTCACAGGTTTATTTTTACTGTAGAAATATGTACTGTGAAGCAAAAAGACAGGAAGAATAAATGTTGATGGGTCATACACAGACACAAACACGTATTTGATGAAGTCCCCTACATTATGTGAACACAATTTCCCCCTTCTGTGAAGACTATAAACTACCCTGTATGAGTATGTGTATGCATGTTTACATGATACAATTTAATTTTGCAGGATTATTTTAAAAAGTATGTTTATATATTATACCTAACAAGCTGTAAATATTGTATACTATTGATTTTTAATTTTATATAAGCAATTTTTTATTTCCCAATTCATGTACAAATCTCATTGTATATACAGCATACTTTTCCTGGAGAACACAGATTTTGCAGTGAATTTTCAGTAATTTTAATTGCAGTAAGCATCAGGCTAGCCTTAGAGATGTTGATCTTTCTTTCAAATTACTTTTCACCACTTTCATTTTCTCCAAAAGGGCAGCAATAAACATATGCAAGTTATTTTTGATTAAAGGAAATTGGTTCCATTTATTGTTTGAGAACAGATGCACAGCTGACATCCTCCAGTGTCTGATCCCAGGGCCGTGTCTTGAGGTCCCCACGTGACCCTTCTCTCTGTAACCTACAGGGTGAACTCTGCCGACACTCACAGAGACATCTGTCAAAAGTGAACCCAGCACTTCAGTGTCATTACACAGAATTTATTGGATTAAAAATTTGTAATATATAGTATTTTAATAAAGTTTCTGTATTCGATTTCATGCACTTATATATAAATAAACCTGTCTTTAAAAGCTTTATGGGGTGTCTGCCTCGTGGTGACAAATCTCTTCAACTCATTCCCTGCGGGTGCAGATGTCTTCTGCTTTTTGTCCATTTTCTTCTGAGCCAGTTTCACCTATGGATTTTGGAGATTTGGCTGAAAATGGTAATACACAAGAAGTTTGGATACAACTGTGGACAGGTTTATAGATTTGCCTGGGACCAGTCCTGGACCCCAGAAGCATCTACTTGTACGAGGTAACTGCTGTAAGAAGGATACAGTTGTTTAGTAGCAGAGAACTGCCTTTTATTGACTGCTTGTTACGGGTTAGACATTCTGTGTTCCGTGTTCTATCCCCATTTGACAGATAAAGCATACATAGGAGGTTCAGAGAAGTTGAGAAAGTGCTCAAGGTCACCCAACTGCTAATTTCCTGTGCTGGGGTCTTCTTGGTCCAGTACCTGTGTTTGTTCCCAGTGAGCCATGTTGGTTTCTACAGAATATTCTGGGAGCTTAGACTGGGTGGCATTAAGGGGATTTGAAAAATTATGAACTCAATATTTAAATTGTCATACTGATGCATCTGTTATATTTTTGTTAAGGATTTTGGAGGGAGGTGCTAAATAACCAACTACTATCTTTCCTGAGAAGAGATTGGAGCTGAAAGAGCCAGTTGCTGTAAATGTTACCAACCTTGGAGGGAAGACTGGCTCACTTTAGAAATTGAGCAAGTATCCTGGAAGAAAGCATTTTCTCACACTCATTGACATTCATTTCATGTCATCGCCAAATTGAAATGAATTTTTTACTAGATAACTTTTTCATTCAACCTTAAGAGCTACAAAATTGAGGCCAGCACTGTGGCGTGGTTGGCTAAGCCTCTGCCTGCAGCGCCAGCATCCCGTATGGGCGCCAAATCATGTCCCTGCTGCTCCTCTTCTGATCCAGCCCTCTGCAATGGCCTGGGAAAGCAGTAAAAGGTGGCTCAACTGCTCTAGCCATGCACTGTGTGGGAAAACCAGAAAAAGCTCCTGGCTCCTGGTTTCAGATTGGCCCAACTGGCAGTTGTGGTCATTTGAGGAGGGAACCAGCATGGAATCCTTTCTCTGTCTCTCCCTCTGTCTGTAACTCTACTCAAATAAATAAAGTCTTTAAAAAAAATTACAAGGGGGCCAGCGCCTTGGCGTAGCGGCTAAGGCCACCGCCTGCGGTGCCGGCATCCCATATGGGCTCCGGATTGAGTCCCAGCTGCTCCACGTCTGATTCAGCTCTCTGTTGTGGCCTGGGAAAGCAGTAGAAGATGACCCAAGTCCTTGGGTCTCTGCACGCATGTGGGAGACCTGGAGGAAGCTCCTGGCTCCTGGCTTTGGATTGGCCCAGCTCCTGCAATTGCTGAGTGAACCAGTGGATGGAAAACCTCTCTCTCTGCCTCTGCCCCTCTGTAACTCTGTCTTTCAAATAAATTAATCTTTAAAAAAATTACTCAATACATTTCCTCCCCAACCATCAAACTTAAAAAAAAAATTTTAAACAAAGTGTAAATCTTGGGATTTCAGAAATGTTGATTTGGTTATATTATTTTTACTCTTTGACGTAATGTTTTTGTAATAGGTAAACAGGGCATTTTGATATTTGCTGACCCTTACAAAAGGCCGTGAGTTCCAGATTTGTCATCACCTACATAGGAAATCTGCAGAAGATCATCTGTAAGGGAGATGCTTGGGTCTTCGAGAGCCTTGTGATGAGGAATGAGTCCTGAGCACACGGGGGAAGAACATAGCCAGCTTTACTGAATGGTCACTGAAGTCACCCATAAAATAGTACCTAAAGCTTTATTCATTCATAAAATAGTACCTATTCCTTATTCATTCATAAAATAGTACCTAAAGCGTTAGGGTGCAGAGAAGAAAGTAAGCAGAACCTATGATAGGTCTGTCTTCTTTATGTGAGACATGGAGGTAAACAGCTCTTACACACATCTGCTTCCCAGATTCTTGCAATGGTTGGGACTGGGTCAGGTTGAAGTTGGGTGCAGGAACCCAACCCAGGCCTGCCTCGTGAATTGCAGGAATTCAGTTACTTGAGCCATCACTACTGCCTCCCAGGGTCTCTGTTAGCAGGAAGCTGGAGTCTGGAGCTGGAGCAGGGACTCAGCAGGTGTCTCACCTGGCCTCTTAACTGCTGGTTTGAACACCCCTTCCCTACAGCAGGTCTTTGAGAAGTTCAGAAAGCTGGGGGGACTGATTTACAAAATGGAATAGCATCAGGTGTTTTCTTGCAAAGACACTGTTTTGTCACTAGGTGGTGCAGTAGTTCCATTGTATTTTTCCCCTTGCTTTTGGCTTGCCTGTTAGTTCCTGTTAGTTCTTGCCTGTGAACCCAAACCGACTCATTTCCATTGGATGAATCTAACAATTTTTTCCAAAATAAACACACGTGAATAAATATTTAAAAAAAAATCCAAGAGTCTACATGTCATCACTAGCCAATTTAACTTTCCGAAGAATATTAAAATAGAGTGTTCAGGGTTGTTTGCAGATGAGAAGACCACAGTAGCTGTATGTTTTTGTTAAGTCATTAACCTGGGCCTTGATTTATGTATTTTCCTTAAGTCCCAACTTGTACTGCATAATTCTTTTTACCAAATTTAAAGTCTACACTTCTTGAGTGACATTTAGTTACATTGTTGGTCAGCTTGCCAGGATAAAAGGGCAACATAACACAACTGAATTTGTATCAGATTTAAATCCCTGCTCTCATCTTTAGTATTGGAACCTAGCCTACTTATTCTGTAGTCTTCGGTTTGTATATCAACAATAACAGTAACAACATCTCATTCCATGTAGTGAATTCCCAGTGAATCCTCTTTCATGCATTGTCTTTCTGTACTTGGAGAGAAAATGTGGTGCTAGACTGCTACAAGTTTTGGTAGTGGATTGAGATGCCTCAGTTTCAACGTCGGAGCTGGATTCGGCATCCCCGCAGAGCGCTGTGCATATTTAGAGATTTCTTTCAGATTGTAACTGTCCCATTGAACTGTATGTTGCTTCTGCGCAGAGCCTGCTGAGGGAATTTTTTTAGAAACATACCTCAGCAGGAAAGAGCCTGATTGGGAAGCAGAATGGATGAACTTGCTGAGCTGGCAAATTCCTTGAATACTCCAAACCAAATATGTATGAGAGGAGGAAACCCAAGCAGCCAGCATCAGTTAGGCCCTCTGAAAGACAGACATGACTTGCCTGTTTGCCAATTGTGGGCACCAGCCACCCCACCTCCTTTGCAAATGGGCAGGTTAGCCTCGGAGAAAGGCCGGCTCTTCCAGCTGTAGACTCTGACCCTGAAGGCCCACATTCTGTTGCATCTTGTGGAGTCAGCAGCCACGGAGACAGACATGCCCTCCACGGGGAGCACTTCAGGACTGAACTTGATAGGTCGAACACGGCCAAACATTTTCATAAAACAACACCTTCTCTGCCCCTTTTGCTTACTTACTTTTTGTGGGAATTGGTGTTGGGAGTGACTGCAATCTGTTGCTACAAGGAGACGCTTGTGTTATCTTTACCATGGACAGAAGTCACTATTGGATTGAGGAAGCACAGTTCTGAGAGACTGGTGACTTGTGAAAGTCTCAGAGCTATCTGATTGGGGAAGGGATGAGACCTGGGTCCTCCCCATGCTCTGACTCCTCCTGCACGTGAAGCTTGTCCTTGACCCAGCTGCTCTGTGCCAGGTTTTTACCCAGGGAGCATGGAGAGTGATGAATTTCTTTTGTCTTCTCATAAATGCAAGTTGCAACTCTTAAAGGGACACCATCAGAATAGGACTGAGCTCCTGTAAGCCAGGGCCAGTTTTAGCATCACAGATTTGACACTTGCTGTGTCCATCCAGTTCCAAGCTTCAGGCTCCAGACTTCTCATTTGAAACATTAATTTGGGTAGTTTTTGCAAGGTGAATGAGAAAGAACGAAAATTTCATGTATAAACTATAGTGTATGATTTGTGCATTTGTTTTGTTTTTCAAGTGCCTAGAGGAAACATGTAAAACTTGTATTATTATTGATAGACTAATTATTGTAATAAATGCTGGCATTCATTTTGCTCTCAAATCACTTTGACATCTGCAATCTCATTTTACCTTCCTAATTTATTGTTTGGGGGAAAGGTAAAATGCTTTTTTATGACAGACAGTTAACTGATTAAACAGAGGTCTTTTATGATACCTGAACAACTGCTTTAGACTTGACAGGTTTTTTTTTTTTTTTTTTTTTAAGTTTTAAGCTTTATTCAGTGAGAGAAATGCAGAGGAGAGTGAGGACCCTATCTAAAAGAGAGAGGGAAATCTGAATTCATTCTGAGTACCAGGAGCCAGCCAGCCAGGAAGCATAGGGCAGGTGGCCCAAAGGCCGCTTGCGCAAACACTTGCCAGTTCTAAGAACAGACGTGCAGGGGCTGCCACAGTCCCATTTGCTTGGACTCAGGTAATCCTCAGGGACCCAAAGGGATCTTGGGTAACACATGACTGCTCATCGCCTGCCACCATGCTTTGGCTGAAGTCTTTTAAAAGAAAGGATATGGAAAGACCCAAGTGTTGACATTAGGTCTTATGAAAAGTTAATTTGTTTTCTTCTATCAGGAATATCCCTAGTTACGTGCCAGTGATAATAGAAGTGCAACCATGTTGAATTAGGACTTTTCAAGATTTAGCTTCACTAAGCAGACTGTTTCTTTCATAAATAAAGCAGCAGGCTTTCCAGCGTCTTGTTTTTTTTTTTTTTTTTTTGACAGGCAGAGTGGACAGTGAGAGAGAGAGACAGAGAGGGAAAGGTCTTCCTTTGCCGTTGGTTCACCCTCCAATGGCCGCCGCTGCAGCCGGCGCACCGCGCTGATCCGATGGCAGGAGCCAGGATCCAGGTGCTTTTCCTGGTCTCCCATGGGGTGCAGGGCCCAAGCACCTGGGCCATCCTCCACTGCACTCCCTGGCCATAGCAGAGAGCTGGCCTGGAAGAGGGGCAACCGGGACAGAATCCGGCGCCCCAAC